AAAGAAGGAGATACTTGAAAGCACCATAGCCCACTGCCCCTGTGCAAGTAATCACTCACTTGCTGCCATTTAGAGATGATCTGCTAAATCAGCCAACAGATCCTGTGGAAAGCCACTAAGCTGAGGGACAGTCCCAAGGAGCCAAGAATCAAGCCTAGACCTGTTCATCCACACTGCCTAATGATACGGAACATCCCCATGCTGGGCAAGAAGGACAGTGTGTGGAAGGAACTCCTTCCCACCCCTGAAGACAGCCTTGAGAGAGGTGAGGCCCAACTTCCTCTGCTTCCCAACAAGCCTCTCTGACAAAGGCAGTGTCCATTGCAGGAAAGGGCCCAGGTTGCCAGGGTAGCTCCAGGCTGGAATCTATTTATACACATCCTCAGCACCCAGAGGTTAAATTATAGCCCAGGAGATGGCTCGGGGCCAGCAAGGAGTTATTTATGTTCTCTTGGCAGACTAAGAGGAACAGGGCATTTCAGAGGACCTCTTCCAAATGAGGCCTGGTAGGGACACAGTTTAGAGAACAAAAGAATAATCCTCCCACGACCCCCCAACCACCCCCGCCACACACACACACAATCTGAGACCATCTTTGCAATGACCATAAGCAGACTTAGTAAAAACCAAAAGACTATGTTTTTAAAATGTGGATCTTGGCCCACTGTGGGGGCTGCAGTGGATCCAGACAAATGCCATGGACTCATTCTAAGAAGTTCTCCAGGCTTTCCAGGCTCCTTATCAGAAGTCTTTAGAGAAAAAGTCTCTCCTGGTCTATCCCTAGATGCTCACTTAGCTTAAGACCACAGCCCTAAGGCTAAGGGGATATGAAACAGACAAAGGCCAAAGACAGAGCCAAGGTTCCCGAGATGCAACTTCAGAGCCAGGTGAAACTGTCAGTAGAACCCAAAGCTTCCACTCCCAGAGGCTCCATCCTCAGCCACTGACCCCAACTGCTCTGAGTTCAAAGGATGATGGGAGGATTCAGAAGTGCTTCCCAAAACCCCCAGGCCCAGCAAGCAGATAGCCTTGTTTAACCAAGGCATCTTTAAACCCTAGATCAAAGGAAACCACCAACACTTTATCGTTAGTGACATTTAATAAGACAGCACGCAGAGCCTGCTAAATCTCACACAGGTGATAGACGAGGCCTGCCAGGCGGTGTGCCGCATGGCGAATCAACACACTTGCTTTCATATAGTGCCAGGTGAGGGCAGCTCTGGAAGAGCTTCCACCAAGAATCCTGGGCCAAGATTCACCCAGCAAGAAGCCTGGGCATCTCTGGGCCAACTCCCTTGGTAGGAGGCAGGACCATGGGGACCAAGCAGGCCTGGCTGCATCAGGGCTGGGTGCCACAGCCATGTACCATGGGCATGTTCCTAGGAGATGCCAAAGAGCTGGGGCCTCACTTCCAGAGTTGCAAGCCCAGAGAGGCTTTCCCAGGACATCCATCAAGGCCAGCTCAATTCATTAAAGTACCAGCAAAGGCAGCTTCGGGGGTTGTGCAGTTGCTGCTGCAGACACCACGGCATTGAGCTCTCCCATTTTCAAAATGAAGATTTCCACCTGCAATCCCCATCCTGGAGGGCAGAAACCTGGAGGAAGTCAAACCAGTGAAAGGAAGAAGTGCAACACTTCCCAGGCACAGTTGAGAGCCACAACCAGGTTTCCTGCTCTCCAGGTGCCCCTCTTGAGCCACGTGTCACCTCTGATGCTGACAACGGGCATCCATAGGACACCTGAGCACTTTTGAGGATGCTGGGGAGAGCGACACTTGGGTCAGCAAGTCAGGCCTGCAAGAGTGTGGAAAGAAGCCACTCCTCTCCTTCCCGGCCCAGCCCAGGCAAGTGCCTGGTGAGAAAGGCCCTTCAAATACCTGCTCCCACACTGTCCATCCTATACCAAGAGCTCATCTCTCCAGTAAAATAACCTCCAGTGAAGAGGGCAGGAGCAGAGAGAAGGCAGAAAGGAAAACTACTTTAACAGAATCAGAACCATAGACTTAGAAGACCTGGGGGGGGGTCCCTAGAGATGACTCAGTTCAGCATCCTTATTTGATAAAGACCCTCAGAGCATGAGGAGTGAAACGGCCCACCAAGGACCATGCAGGAAGTCCCAGACAGGTGAAGCGTAAAGGTAGGTCTCCTGACTCTGAGCACCACCGCAGCAACCTCCTCCACACCTGCAGTCTGCGTGTATCTCAGTCTCTGTTGCTCTGGATGCACGTCTCAATGTACCCCACCCCAAACCTCAACTCTCCATCACGTGCAAAGTTCCCTGAAGGACCTTTCTCCATGCCCCTGCCAGACTCTTCCTAATGCAGGTTCCACCCTCATTCCTTCCCTACCTCTTCGGGACCACATTTAAATCTTCGTGCAGACGGGTGTGTTAGTAGGAGATGGGGGAGACAGATTGGAAGAACGCCCTGCTTCAAGATTAGGAGCTCACCCAGCCACATCCCGGAGCAATAGAAATTTCCTACTCAGGACCCCAGGCCTCCTAACGTGAGCGATGTACCTAATTCAATAATCCAGACACAGCATTGTCTGTGGGTCCTGGAGTCACCGTTGTTTACATTTACGTCCCAGCACACGGAGCTCATCTGCTTGGCTCAGCACACCTCGGAAACTGTCAGCCCTCCGCTCCCGGGATTGCTCAGTCCTGACCCTCCCAATACTTAGTCCTGTTTAAATGCCCTCTCTGGTTCCACTGTGTGAAGTGTATCACTTGATTCTCCTGTTTTCTAGCTTTCCCCACCTCCAGAAAAAACAAAACAAACAAAAAATGCTTCTGGTTCCTTCAACAGACACAGACATTCTCCAAGCCACGAGTCACCCTGCTCCAAAGTCACTCATCTCAGGCCTGCAGACCCCATAGGAGCCACACACAACATTGTCGCATTATCTATCCTTCCTTAAAATGACACTAATAAAGTGGGTTTAGTGTTCCAGCCACTCCTCTGCCCAAGATGCGTAGTTCAGACACCTGAGTGGCTTGATTCCTGGCCCTGTCGCCAGCCCCCTGCAATCCTCCAGCTTTTGAGTGTGCCTGTCCCACTCCTGTGCTTGGGTCCTGAGCTTGGGTTCATGCCGGTCTCTTCCAGTTCCTTCAAGGCCCAGTTCCCATCTGCTCCATCGTTCCACGCAGCTGTGTATGACGCAGACCCGCAAGGTCATGTTAGCATTCAGAACAAGAAACGAACGTGTCTCAAATCATGCTCCCATCTACCCTGTTTGGGGAATGAAGTGGCCCATCAAGCCTCCCCTGCAACTAGGAAGCTAAGAGCTCACAGTGTGGCCGCATCTGCTCCCTCCTCATTGTTATGTGTATAGTTTCATCTTCAGTCGCCTCCATCAGTTTGTATAGGCCACAGGATGTATTTTTTTTAAGTAAGCAGAAGAGAAAAACTCACCTTCTTCACAGAGCTTTCCCTGAGCCCTGCAGCTAGCCCTGGGATCAGGCCCTTCTCTGAACTCCAGGAGCGCCTGTTCTGCAAACCAAAGAGCTTCCCCTTGTGCGTGCACAGGGCCCCAGCTCTCCCTCCCCATCTCCCATCTCTCTGAGCCCCTGGCCCTGGCCCTGCTTCTTTCTGAAGAAGGTGGTTTGTACCCAAAGCCTCTACTTCTGCCTCCCCGCCAGGAGTGGGCACCCTGTGGCCCATCTTCCACCACACACACACACACACACACACACACACACACACACGTATACACATTCTGTGAGACACCATAGCTCAGTCACCTCCTCCCTCTGAAGCTCCCTTCTCTTCTAGTCTCATATCCCACTTCCTTTGCCCCTCCCTTAAGCACTGGTGTTTCCAGTAGATTTCTGCCTCCATCATCCACGCCAAGCCTTCACCTATCACTTCAACACTGAGAATGCCCAAATATGCAGGCATCTCCAGCCTAGACTCCCTCCTGAGCTCTACCAACCCCTCCTAGGCCATCTCATTTACTTCTGTGGCTTTAATCACCAACAAAGTACCCAATAACTCCCAAACCCATCTCTTCTTTCTAGCCTCATTACTGAGATCGAGATCTACAAGTCCAAGTGCCCCCTAGGTGTTGCCGTGAAGGTGGCAGTAGTCCCCCAACCCCATCAAATGCTGCATGTCCGATACCATCCCCACTGAATGGCTCCATCTCTCTAGAGTTACTCAACCAGGAAACATCCAGACACCATCCATTTATCCATTCAAGTAACCTAATGGAATGTTCACCATGTGCCAGGGTCTATATGCAGGAAAGGACGTAGAGCAAACAAAACAGAACAGTTCTTGCCACCAGGGTTCTACCTCCAGGTGACTTTCAGCCAGCCACCTACTCCTATCAAAGCTACCTCTCAATCTCCTCCGAAATAACCCAGTTTTCTCCATACCCACAGTCACTATCTTAGTCTGGAGCATTAAATAATACTGGAAAGAAAGCAGTTTAGCTGGAATCCCCTCTGAAAGGCATGGCTATGTGACCTTCAACAAACTACTTTCTCTGTAACTCGCCAGTTGTTTCATCTTTCAGTCTCTACCTCATTTTGGTAGAGACTGAATCTTGCTATGTTGTACAGGCTGGTCTCAACTCCTGGCCTCAAGTGATCCTCCTGCCTCAGTCTCCTGAGTCACTTGGATTATAGGCATGAGCCACTGCAATCAAAGGTCCCTTATTCCAAGGCTCTAGGAGTTTATGGTTTTGAATTACAAGCTCCATGGACAACCGCATGTGCTCTGGGTTTCCGCAGCCAAGCACAGAGTAAGCAAAAGATAAACCTGTTCTGAGTGAACGAATGAACAAATGAATGAATAAAGAAGTAGATGGATTGATGAATGAATGAAATGGACAGTTCATTTTGCACATGTCCAAGTCAGTTTTGCCCTTTCTGACACCGTTTCTGCTGGACTCAGGGTCATAATTCAATGTACCTCAAGGAATGCAGAGAAAGGAAAACACAGCCTGGCGACGTGAGCCCCCTCCTGCCAGCACCCCTGGGGCTGCCGCAGCGCTCACCGGCACAGGTGGTCAGTCCGGCACACCCCACGCAGGTCCAGGCAGTTGGGCTTCTCCTTATCCTCATAGGAGCAGCTGGGCAGGATGGTTTGCCGGCGGCGCTCGGCACATGCCAGGTCTTGGCAAGAGCAGAAGAGCATGCGGTAGGTGAACTCGCTGGGCACCCGGTCGAAGAACTGGCGCAGGGCCTTGTGGCACTTGCGGCGGTTGCAGCGCTCGGTGGGCGAGATCTCACGGTTGCAGATGGAGATGTAGGAGGAGCGCAGCTTCTTGCAGTTGTCATTCAGGTTGCAGGCCTTGGCAGCATCCAGGCAATGGTTGCTCTTGGCGCTGACCACTGGGTCTGCCCCTGTCCCTGGAGAAGGAACGAGACTGCAGGTCAGAGGCCGCACAGGCATGAGAAGGACGCAGCTGCCCCCTCACTGGAAGATATCTCCCAGTACTCAACATGCTTCCATATGCCCATTCTGTGCTTCAGTTTTCCCATCTGTGAAATGGGGATCACTTCACAGGACCTATCTCCTAAAGCTGTGGTGAGGATTCAAGGAGTTAATAGACAGGTTTGGGGAGTGCCTAGGAAACGCCTGGTGCAGGGTGAGCTGTACCATGGCAATCTAGGGCAACGGTGGACTTAAAACTCACTGCAAGCCTAAAAGGCAAGCAACTAGATGTGTAAGGCCCTGTTTACAAATATGGGAAATACAGTGACTGGCTCAGGACCATACAACAATGGGGCCCCTGTGAACCCACCAGCAGGACCCTGGCACTTGGGGTCAGACGATGCTCATGAAGCGATCTTTAGCAGCCTGGGTGCAGACAGCACACATATGTCCTTCCGAGACATTCTGGTGAGAGCCAGATGGGAGATCCCCCAACCCAGCCTTGTTATTTTACAGATAAGGAAACTGAAGCACTATGTGGGCAAGGGGCCTGCCCAAGGTTGCCCAGCACAGGTACCCGAGTCACACGCAGTAGCACAGTTATGCCAGCAAGAACCATCAGCGTCCCTCATCCATTCTTCATCCACCCCAAATGCTTCCCAGTATTTCCTGAGCACCACTCCCTCCATGCAAGGCCCAGCTAGGTGGTGGGAAAGACTGGGGGTGAGAGGGCTGAGGCCACACGTCCCTCTCATGTCAGCCAGGTGACTGAGCACTTCCAGCACACAGTTCCTAGTGTTCTAATCACTTGCCCATTAAAGACGGATCAGGTCCCACCTCTGCACAGCCCTCTGCTGGGTGCCATGTTGGATATAAAAGTGCAAGAGGAGGGGTCACTCTGGAAGAGCTCACAACTCTGGCCAGGAAACCAAGAGGCAGAACAGCACACAAGCCAAAACTGAGCATTCGAGAGCTCAGCCATCAGCATTCAACTCCTGGACCTGATACTCACTGGCTGCATGACCTGGAACAAATGGCTGAACCTTTGCCTCAGTTTCCTTATCTGCAGATTAGTACCTACCACATAGGGTCTTTCTGAGCATGAATGAGATAGCTCATTTTTTTCTCTCTCCCCTATATCATAATTTTGCTGTCTTCTAGACCACTCCCATCAGATATTACATCACCATCTTCAATTTAAAAAAGGCGTCCTGTGACCACACACCCCTCTCAAGCTACCACCCCATTTTTCTGCTCCCCTTTAGAGCAAAACCCCTCAGTTGAGTTGTCTACGCCATCTGTCCCCTGCTCTCCTCCTGTTCTCTCTTGGACCTGCTTCAGCCTGGCGTTTGGCCTCATCTGATGGATGCTCAGGGAACTACCGGCCTCATCTTCCTCAGCCCATCAGCAGCACTAGACACAGCCGATTCCTCTCCCGTGCCTCCCACTCTCTGCGGGCTCCCTGCTGCCTCCCCAGTCTCCTGCTCTGGCTGCTTTGCTGGCCTCATCTGCCATACGCAGGGCTCAGCCTCCTTTTCTCTACATGTACCTGCTCCCTGGAACTCGTGGCTCATCTCATGGCCTGAAACATCATCACTGCTCGTCCAACTCCCAGATTTATACCCCCAGACGAGACCTCTGCCCTGAGCCCCAGACTCATCTGTCCACCTGCCAAATCAACACCTCTTCCTGCAAGCCTAATACCTAAATCTCACACTAACACATCCAAAACATCCAAATCCAAACCCAGATTTCCCCTCAAAACCTGGGGATTCCCTCCACCTCTGACAGTCTTCCTCATCCTGCTGGAAACAACCCCATCCTTCCAGCAGCCCACGCCAAGACTCCCGGTGCTTCCTTGACTCCTCTCACATTCACAAGCCACAAAACCCTGGCAGCTCTACCTTTGAAACACAACCAGAATCCAGCCACTTTTCACCACCACCTCTGCTGCCACCTGGGTCCGAACTACTGACACTGTGCCTGTTAAGAGCCTTCTTCCCCAGCCTCCTGCTCTGCCCTGTGCCCGCATACCCCACCTCATGACAATCTCTCATCACAGCAGCTGAAGAGAACCTTCTAGAACCTAAGGCAGAGAGCCACTGCTCCCAGGCTCCAAAGCCCCCCATGGATTCCCCAGCTCATTCCAGGGGCCTCAGCATGGCCTGCACAGCTCTATGTGTGTGCTGTCCCATTTGTTACAGCAGGACAATTTGTGCCGTCTGAACTGCTATCCACTTGCCACACATGGCCGTGGAACCTGAAATGTGGTTAGGGCATTTCACATGTTCTCACAAGGCCTTGAAACACACACCAGATTTTGAAAATGTAATAAGAAAAAAATAATGTAGGCTGGGCATAGGGCTCATGCCTATAATCCCAGCACTTTGGGAGGCCAAGGCATGCAAATCACTTGAGGTCAGGAGTTGGAGGCCAGCCTGGCCAACATGGTAAAACCCCATCTCTTCTAAAAATACAAAAATTAGCTGGGCGTGGTGACACATGGTAGTCTACACCCAGCTACACAGGAGGCTGAGGCAGGAGAATCACTTGAACCCAGGAGGCAGAGGTTGCAGGGAACCAAGATGGTACCATTGCACTCCAGCGGGAGCAACAAAGGGAGACTCTGTCTCAAAAAAAAGAAAAAGAAAAAGATAATGTAAAGTATCTCATTAATAATTTTTTACTTTGATTACACATCGAAGGGATATTTGGGATCTATGATGTTAAACAAATGTAGTAATAAAAATAATTTCACCTGTTTCTTTTTTCTTTGTGATTACAAGCAAACGTAGAATTACATACATGATGCATATTATATTTCCATCAGCCAGCACAGCTGTATACGGCCTCATCTCCTATTCCTTTCTCCTGGCTCATTTCACTCCATTCCAGCCACTCTAGCTTCCTGGCTCTTTCTGGAACACACCCATCATAACCTGGCCTCAGGGCCTTTGCACTTACTGTCCTCTTGGCCTGGAGGTCTCTCCCTCCCCACCACAGCCATACAACCACTCTCTTCATCTACTTCAAGACTCTGCTCAAATGTTACCTAATATGCGAGTCCTTCCTAACCTCCCCACAGGTAGTAACAATGCCCCATGCACCTTCCATGTACCCCCTACTCTGACCTATTTTTCCCACACCACTCATCACCACCTGCCATGGTATGTCTTCACGTACTCATTTGTTTATTTCTATCAAATACAAGCTCTAGAAAGGCAGTGCTGTGTTCAGTGCTACAGCCCTAGGAGCCAGTGTTTGACACACTATCCAATAGGTATTTAATGGGTGATGGAATAAATGTTATTTAGGCTAGTGTCTATTTTACAGTAAGTGCTCAAAAAATGTTGACTATTAGTAAGCAAGCAAAATGATGCAGAGAAGGCAACAGAGATCAATACAGGACCATGTGGGGCCCAGCCCAGACCTGAAACTTGGGGGATGATCAACGAAGACAGAGCCACTCACCCCAACACCTTGTCTAGCTAACAACAGCCCCCTTGTTTTTTGAGTCGGAGTTTTGCTCTTGTTTCCCAGGCTGGAGTGCGATGGCACGATCTCAGCTCACTGCAACCTCTGCCTCCTAGTTTCAAGCCATTCTCCTGCCTCGGCCTCCTAAGTAGCTGGAATTAAAGGCACCTGCCACAACACACGGCTAATTTTTGTATTTTTAGTAGAGACAGGGTTTCGCCATGTTGGCCAACTGGTCTCAAACTCATGATCTCAGGTGATCCATCCGCCTCGGCCTCCCAAAGTGCTGGGATTACAGGTATGAGCCACCATGCCTGACCAACAATAACCCTTTGAAGGCAGAAAGAGAAAAGTGCCCTCTCTTGTTGTAAAAATAAAAGAGGGAGGGTACATCCAGACAATGGAATCTTATTCTGTGATAAAAGGAAATAAGCTATCAAGTCATGAAAGGACGTACAGAAAACTTACATGAAAGGAGACACATCACACCCTATGATTCTAACAGTATGACACTCTGAAAAAGGGAAAACAGTGAGATCAGTGGCTGCCAGGAGTCAGTGGGGAGTCTCGGAGGAAGAGGCAGAGCATAGAGGATTTTTAGGGCATTGAAACCGCTCTGGACGCCATTAGATGTTTGTCCAAACCCACGGAAGGTACAACACCAGGAGTTGTACATTGTATCAGGCTTTGCCTGATAATGATGTGTCAGTGTAGGCTCAAGAACTGTAACAAATGCATCCCTCTGTGGAGGGATGCTGACAGTGGGGGAGGCTGTGCCTGGGGAGGAGTAGGGGGTAGATGAGAACTCTCTGTACCTTCCTCTCAATTTTGCTATGAACCTAAAGCCACTCTTAAAAAATAATAAGCATTTTACTTAAAAAAAAAAAAAAAAAAGGAAGCTAAGGGAAATTAAGGCTGAAAGAGAATCAAGGTTTGTTTTTCTATTCAATCCATTAATATATCTTTACTGAGGACCTACCATGTGCCAGGCACTTCCCCAGACACTGAGGCTGCAACCCTGCCTGAGATACAGCTAGGGACAGAGGAGTAACCATGCTGATGTTGAGTTCTGTGTCAGGGAAGTCGGGGTGCAGAGAGAAAAGCATCCTGCCCAGATTTTGGGGGGTCCTGGAAGCACTGACATCTCTGCGAAAACCTACAGGAGAACTCGGAGGAAGTGAAGACAGCAGCAAAGGATCCCATGCAGAAACAGGAGCAGGGGCAACCACCAGGAGGAAATGCAAGCAATTCAATGTGAATGGACATGGAAGTCAAGGCAAGGACAGCCAAGACAAGGGCCTTCGGCCACGTTGTGTTGAGTGGCCTCTCAGGCAATTCCTTGAGCTGCTACCAAACAATTCTTCCCAGGCCAGAAGCACCCCAGAATGCCTGTCAACACAAGGACTATTGTGGGGACACTGCCTCTAAGGGACAAGTTCTCCCAGGCCAGCGGTGGGATGCACCTGTCAGAGGCTGCTGGCTGCTGGCTGGAGGAGTGGAG